AAGCCGTAGCGACGGCGGCGCCACTGGAGGTCGTGACGGCGGCAACGTCGCTGGACAAGTTATGATTCTGGCTATTGGAGCGAGTGGTGCTTTGAGATTCAATCGCCATTTTCTGTTTTTGTTTCCTCTTCGCTCGTTTCTGCTTTCGCCTAAGTCGAGCAAGGAAGTTTGCTCGGGCTGGAGACAGAGAAGAATTATCTCGGAGATAAGAGGAGAGGGAAAAGCGGGAGCAACGAGCAATCTTGATGAAGAGCGAAAGAGAATAAGATGAAGCAGTGATGGTAGAAGAAGAAGAGTAGAGAAAGTGGAAGAAGAGCGAGTATAAATAGGAGCAGTGGGGGGCAGCGACGCGATGGTTAAGTGACCGAGTAAAACCCTAGTCTAGGAATTTCAAAACGCGGGCAAGTGATTGGACGGGGGAACTACCCGTTGTCAGAGCTCAACTTCCGAAAACCGACACGTGGTACGACATGCAAGCAGTGTGACAGGTCGCGTAAGTTGAAACGACAGTCAAGGAGGTGCAAACCGCCTAATATTCCTCACGAACTTAAAGGGGGTGGACAGCGCAAGCACTCAAAATTATCGAACACTCGGGAGGCACTCATGGATTGAGGCAGCGAACCGCCTAATATTCCTCGCGAACTAATGTGGGTGGACAGTGCAGGCACTCAAAATTATTGAACAGTCGGGAAGCAACTCATGGATTGAGGCAGCGAACCGCCTAATATTTCTCGCAATCTAAAGGGGGTGGACAGTGCAAGCACTCAAAAATTATTGTACAATCGAGGAGACAACTCACGACTTGAGGTAGCAAATCGCATAATATTTCCTACGGCTAGAGGGGGTGGACAGTACCACTCAAAAATGGTACAATCGAGGAGACAACTCACGGCTTGAGGTAGTAAACCGCATAATTCACCCTCATGACTAAAGGGGGTGGACAGTGCAAGCACTCAAAATCACTGTGCGGCCACGAAGACAGAAGCTCGCGAATTAGGATGATGGATTGCACCAGGTAGGACACTACGCAACCAGGGAAGAGCCATAGTAAGGGCAGTAGAGCGCATCATGGAAAATCCCCGTCTCTTGGGCGGCCAGGGGCAAGGTGTAGGTAGCGGTTATACAGAAGACCGCTCAACTATCATTGGCAAAGTTAATAGCCGCCAAAACTCGCAGCTTTTCTCGACTAAAGGGCAATTGTTGGGCCCATAGTTGAGCAGTGTTGGGCTTAAGGCCCATAGGGAGTCTACCAGGGATGGCCCGAAGAAGGGACCGAGCCACAGCGAGAGGCCCAAAAGAGTGGACATGGGGAAAGGAGAATGGCAGGCGGTCGCCCTATGACGGGATAGGGAGTGGGCCGCCCGACACAAAGTACTGTCGGTGTCAGGAAGAGAAGATCCTCCTAGGATACTTACCTCGAATACTGCAGGACTAAGCATTAAATGCCTGTCGCGCGCGGTCTAGATAAAGCAAGGTGCATCTAGGCCGCCTGACATGGCATTTAATGCCTCATACCCAAGCTAGCCGACTATAAATACATTGGTGTCTGCATTAATGGTAACTCAACTACTCTCTCTCTCTCTCTCTCTCTCTAAACATAAACAAAAACCCTTATTCTATCTCTAACTTTAGCATCGGAGGGTGTCCGGGGTGACCGCCCACAGACCCTTGTTTTGTAGGAGCTTTGGAGTACACCCACCATCTGGAACAGATGCCTTGTTCGTTCTTCCCAAACCGCCTGGAACATTCCAGGCTCAAACAGAAACCTCCCTTGAGCTAATCCGATTAATCAGATTCACCGCCACCCTAAGACAATAGAAGCAGCACTCAAGTGACTCCGCTCTGACTCTAACTGACTCCGATTCTACTCCACCAACAACAAACTCTCATTACTGTAAAAAAAACAACAAACTCTCACGCTCTGACCCAACTATTTTATAAAGGGAGGGAGATGCAGTGCCACTGCCACCAAACACATCCAACCCTACCCACATGCTCAGGTGAGTTTCGTTCCTTTGAAACTAAAATGACTGGATTCAATTAAGCAACATCGATTCCCATCACTGTAATTATACCCGCTTAGATTAAAACATTATGGCTCGGCTTACTTCCTTCCATGATTACTACATCTGCCGCTACTATGTTACATTCGCCCCAACATTCCTAATCAAACTTCGATGATATTTTGTTGAACGTAACTTTTACCTCCTAAACACGGTAAACTTACGCATATTATTTTGTGAACAGAATAGAAGGGAAACTTGATTATATTATCAGAACAAAGAAACGTCTTTAAATACATCAAACTTAACTGTTGTAGCTAAAAACCAGCTACCACTCTCCCTAATACTCATCCTATCAAACGCAAACCAAGGAACTGCTAACAACTACAGTCCTTTAAACCAACCACTACTTCTAATAGACAACTAACCCACGAGTTCTACTAACTTCTAACTGGGCTTGTTATTGACTCAAACTAATAAGACACATTCCTAGCCCAAAGCCAATGTCTCGACCCAACTTTTTGGTCCAACATATCCTCCCCTAAACTCAAACCATTTCCAGATTGAGTTTATCAAACAGCAACCACATTCTTCTAGCAACCACACTATTCCTGAATTGCAGCAGCTCCTTGTATTACAGCAATCACATTCTTCATTTTAGAATCCTTTTCCTCTTCCAGTTTGCACATTCCCAACTTGCTATGAAACCTTTCAAACACTTCTACTTACTTTCAGTCTACCCTGGTGTCTGCAACTTGATCTTTACTTCCACAATACTCAAGCTTAACCAATCTATCATTCACCAAATCCCCGAAAACATGGAATCTGACATATAAGTGGTTAGTTCTCCATTCCTTTTCCTTGTATTAGACGCACCAGCATCATTGAGTCACACAAGCCTAACAAACTTCTTGTTGCTGCAATATTCATCACTTGACATTTTCCTCAACATCACCTTCTGGTACTTCATCTCCCAGCTGGGTTTTTAGCACGTGACCTTGTACTTCTCCCAGCAAAAAGCTTTAAGAACTTGACATTCATCAACTAGATCACTTCTTTTGCCTTCCATGGAATCAAACTCAATGTATGCATCAACGCCGCCTTGTGGAAACATGATCCTACCCACTGCAAATGGGGACCAATTGTGAAACACCCTAACCCGGCCGGGTACTACTTTTACTAAAATTCCCTTGATAAATAAAATACTCAAATCTTAAATTGCAACTGGGAAAAATTTTAATAAATAAAATACTGAAAACACACACTTGTAGCTCAGAGCAAAGCCCTAACATGTGGGCAAATTAAACTCAAACTTTAAAATCTCAATATGATCTCCAGTCTATACTCATAATCATAAGATGTAAATAGCTAGGTAGTCTATGTCGTTGCTGCTACTGAAAATCTTAACTAGGCATCCTCCGTGACGCTTGCACTGCCCTCCTCTAGCTGACTGCCCTTGAACTTTTCCTCTCAAACTCGCTGCTCTCTAACTGCTGCTCTAGCTCCTTCCTCCTCAAATAGGTGAGTGAGTTGGGGTCAGTATACGGCCTTACGGTTAACATCTTATTAAAACTTGGGCACTTTACTTAACTGTGTGGGAGTTGTTTTGTACTTCCACTATTAAAAAGCTTAACTCTTAAAACTGTATGGGAGTTACTGTTACTCTCCATTCTTAAAGATCAAATCTCGACTTAAATACTTGACTGACATTGGGATCCCTCAATAGCTAGTCTGGTTGCCAACTCATACGTATGAGAAGCCGTCCAGGCTTTCCTTAAACTTAAACTTAGTTAGGGAAGTCGTAACGATTCATCCCCTAATAGGGGTGGAAAACGGTGCGGTTATGGTTAACTGCACCGCAATTTGCGGTTAACTGCACCATATTTTGGGGTTAACTGCACCGCAATTTGCGGTTAACTGCAACCGCAAAACACCCATATTAGCCAACCGCGACTGTGTCCCTCACGATTAGCGGTTGACCAAAAACCGTAGAACACGGTAAACGGTGAACCGCGGTTTCTGGTTGTAAAAACCGCAACAACCGAAACAATATACGAAACCGCGGTTAAGCAAACTAACCGCAAAAATACATGAAAAAAAAACACAGCAGCTACTGTTTTGTCTATTTCACTTCCATCAAGCCCTTGCATCTGTAAGACAGGAAGAGGAGCTCGACGGCGAGAGCAGGTCAAGCCATCGAGCGAACAGAGGAGCATGTCTAGGGACAAGGCGTCGACGTCGAGCGAAACAGAGGAGCATCCGAACAGAGGAGCAGCCGAACAGCCTTGAGGAAGCTGGTGACGGCGGACGGCCAGGGACAGCGGCGGGCAGATGGCAGCGGTGCAGCGCCGCAGCGGGAAGATGGGAAGGGTCGAAGGGTTTTCAGTTGCTGGCATGGCTTAGGATTTTCAAAATCAGACGACGGCGCGGGAAGTTGGGAAAGGTCGAAAGGAAATGGATTTTCGAATTTCGTTTCGTCAAATCAAAACGACGGCAAAAGGGAGAAGTGAGGGAGGGGTCGGGTCAGGTTTGGGCTGCTGGGTTAGGGGTCTACTTTGGGCTTGGCTGGGGGTTCAACTTTGGGCTGGGTTGGGGGTCAACTATGGGTTGGGGCTGGATAGCGGTTAGCCTTGCGGTTATATGGATTTGCGGTTTCAGTTGTGGTTAAACCACAAACCGCAAAACAGCCCATATCTCCAACCGCGACCGCAAAATAGGCAAAATATGCGGTTTGCGGTTAACCAATAACCGCGCGGTTTCGGTGCAGTTATCGGTTTAACCGCGAAACCGCAATCGTTTTCCCAGCCCAACCAACTAACATCTTAAACTTATCGTGGTGGCTCTTCGTAAAAGTCTCAAGAGCATAACTATTGCTCTGTCTCAAAGATCTTAAGAGCATAACTGCTGCTCTATTTGAAAATCTCAAATGGCAACGGACTGGCGCTAGTGACTAAAAACACTTAAAACGACTTCACCTTCTTTAAGGTGAGTTACTTCTTTAAAAGAACTTGTTTCTTACTCTTTAATAATAACTTATACTCGTAAAAATTTCAAAGTAATTAATAAACATTCACTTCAAGCATAGCTCAAACAAAATCACCTCAAATAGCACAAAATCATCTCAAACCATAACTCAAGCAAAGCACAAATAATCAATCATACACATAACCAAGCAACGATAACCAATTCGCTAAAATACTTAAAATCATAATACTTAAAAGAATACGCAAGGCGTAGAATTTACCCCCTTTACACTCACCTTGAGTTGAAACAGATTGAATTTTCTTAGCTACTGTCCACGATTGATTTCCCTTCACTAAAATCAATTGTCGCCGCATACTTTCACCATCGGTCAATTGAGAGGCCACTAACTGCCGCCCATAATCTTCTTCACCTTGACCCTGCGCTCTGGCTTCGTGATGTCCTGCTCGATGGATATGGCGCCACGCAGAGGAGCGATTCTCACCAAATCGAGATCGAGAACGAGGCTCCCGACGGGAACCTTCTCTACGGCGACCTGCATCCATCCTCCGGGAGCGGCGCGAGAGGAATGGAGGAACTTGAACTTGGAATCGAGCTGGACCAGCTTCCAGGAGGCACGAGACCTATAGTCGTGCTCCTTGGCGAGATGGTAGTATTTCTTTGGATGCTTATCCAAAAATATCATCACACGCAAGACTAAGCAGAGCAATCCTTTTATAAAAAAAACTGTTCAAAGAACAACAATTCACCCGTCAGCCAGGCAGTGATGAATACCGGTTCCAAGGCTCACTCCTCCACACTTGAACCTCGTGACCTTAGAAAACACCAAGAAAATTGGAAAAGAATCTAACAGGAAGATTTTTATCGTGAGCATTGATAATGGTGGTGTGAAGCATGTGGGACATAACCACGATGAATGAGACAGAAGGATGGTCCCATGGCGGCGGAATTAGGGATTTTGGCGGCTAAAACTCGTCTCTTCCTTCAGGTTTAGGCTTTTGGTTTTATATATATATATTAATTGGTAAAAATAATATAATAAATTATTATTACTAATTCACGGTTGCAACCCTTCGTACGTAACTGTTAACCCAACCGTTCCCGTATTTTTGGTCGAACCTGAACCCAAAGTCGGGGTGTTACGTTTCCTCCACCCTTATAAAAATTTCGCCCCCGAAATTTGCTTGAATCTCATTCCTCTGTCAACACCATTCTTGTACTTCCTTGCCCCAAAAGTTTACTCTCTCTATGTGAACCTTGATGATGTCCGTTGCTTGTCCCGTATAGTTTACCTCACCTCAAGTTATTTCCTCTTGACCATAAAAGGTATTCTCAACAAGCTCATTAGCATCTAGTAGCTTTGAGTGGCTACTTGCCCTTTTCAAAATTTTCCAACTTGGGTCCAGTACTTGATGTTGAACCTATCGAAGTCGAGGTATCACATTTCCCCCCTCCTTAAGAAAAATTTCGACCTCAAAATTTGTTCATCTTGATAACCCAAAGTCCCACTTGAGGTAATCCTTCCACTACACGGATTTATACTTCATTTACTTTGTACAACCCTGAGCTATGATTCCTTCCCTCTAATTCGTGTGGTTCTTGGTCGAATGATAACTCACTCATTTCTCCTAAGCTACTTACTCCGCTAGTGTCTTACTCAAAGCGGTTATGTATTTGTGGCACTCTCCTTCATCAACGCCTTTGATGTTGTGAAGAATTCTTAGCTCATATTGTTCTCAATGGGTTTCCTTGGGTCTCGACTTAGGATCCCCTAAGAACATTAAGGAAATAAATTCTCCGCCAGTCCTATTCTGGACATGACTCGTCGTAACTTCATCTCATAATGCGCCTCGACCTTGAACAACGTTCTCCATATCTTGACTGCTGATGCGTCTACTTGAATTCTCGGACATAGATGTCCGTAGTGAACGTTTAACCTGCTGAATGGCTTACTCATAGTTCGATTCTTAGGTATTACTTCTTCCCCATTTATAGACCTCATTATCCTCCTCTTGGTAACTCCGCTTTATGCACAACTTAACTCCGCTTCCCTTGGGAGTCATCGTACCATTTCATCTGCCATTCTTTGACCACCTCAGTGCATCCAATATGTTCTCTAAATCCATACTTCCTTTTCCATGTATGGTTTCCCTGTCCAAGAAATTTTCACCCGAGAGATTGTCACCTTTCACCCTCATAGGTGATCTTGGTTTCACTTTAGCGTATCCTAGCAGGTTCGCTAAACTCATATCCATCTTACTTCTTTACTCGTGACTCCTCTTACCGATGTTTCTCGCTAGTTCTATATGTCCCTCGTCCTCGATGTAGTCATCTTGGTGCCCATATTCTCTTCTCACTTATGTACCTTGACTGATAAGGTTTTCCATTCGACCGTTCTGGACCACCACACTTCTACTTTAAAGTTGACAATTGAGCTTCTCAGTTCTTGATGGGCTTCCTATGGTCCAACTTATACTCCACTACCACTGGCAATCACCTTAACGCCTCCTTGTTGACCTTCGTATTCTTCCGCCGACTCTTCCTAACTATCTTTCTCCCTGAATTGTCGTTTTTATCAACTACCACCCTTTTCACCATAACTTTCATTATAGCCTTGTGGTTACTTCCACAAATCCTTCATCGATGCTTGGTACTAGCTTTGATCTACTCAGTTTAGTAGCTCCTCGCCATACCTCAGAGCCAACATTTCCACTATAAACTTTCTCTAGGTAGACTTGACAGATGACACCCACGACCTCTACTCACGATGGTGCTTGACCACGTCCCAACTATCTTCCTTCACGCATTCATTGTCCGGTCGACAACCACTTTTTTTCCTATAGCGTCCTATTGTGTTCTCCTTGCTTCTTTACTTTTACTACCCTTCTTTTGATACTTTGTACTATTTTCGGTCACCAAACTCTGTTGAGTATCTTCTCGTTGTTTTTTTGGGTCAACGCTTCCAATAGTGGCTTGCCCTTGGTAGGCTTGAACATACCTCATTCACGTCACTTGTCTCGATTGATGCCTGCATATGGCCTTAATCTCATAGTCTGGGTTCTTAGTGGCTTAACTAAACGTATCTTACTTATTCTTAACTAGCCGCTTCCTCTGGATGACATCCTACTATGCCACTCCCACTTAGAGTGGGGCACCTTGGGTAAGGTAACTTAATGATTTCCTCCTTCTTGGTAATGCTTTTCCTCGACGTACTCCACTATGAAAATTCACTTTATCACGTCTGCTGAGACTCCTCAAATTCTCTGACGTTTATTAGAACTTCCAATGAATGTTCTACTTGCTTGCCTATACTTGGTTGATTGAATGATTTACTCTTACGGCTGGTTTCGAGACTCTAGCTCTTAGGCAGCTAGTTCCAACTTACGAATAGAGGTTCCTCCTTCCGGCACCCCTCATGTACCCTAGGCAGCTTGGTGCTCCCTCAATTTAGCATAGGGCAATCCCATAACAGGTCATTACGAACTCTGCATTCCCCTTTCAACTATCCCAACGACCTCCTGACCTTTCATGACCTAGGTAGTTTGTAGGGTCTCTAATATCCTCTTTCTAGCTCCATGTTGACTTACTAGCTTACGTGTTCTTTTCTTACTTATTGACTCCCCACTGTCTTCTACCAGGTATGCTTTAGACTTCGGTGGCACTTTCCCCCATGTCTCATCTAATGGTGGTCGTACTGAGACCATAACTTATCCTCTACATCATTTACCTCGTTTCTTGTCTTGTTCCTTCTAACGGCTTGTCATCGGCCTAACCCCCAGGGTCGTGTACCCTCTTCTCTAGTGACGTAGCTTATCTATAAGGGTTCCTTTCAGACCCCCTCTAACCTACTTACTTCCTCATTTACTTTAGTTACACTACCCTAGATTCTCTTGAAGTCTAAGCTTTTCACTGCTCCTTGTCCCTATGTAGTAATAGTGTTGACCACTAAAACTAGTCGAGGGACTTTTTGTGGTACCTCTTTGTTTCTTGACCCGTTGCACACTTTCCACTGCTTAGGACCAAAGACAATAATATCATCCTATTATCATCGCTACTGGCATCTGGTGATTGTTCCTCTTCCTTTGGAGATTCATATTTCTCCCCTTTGTTTGTCTTAGCTTATTAGATCATCCACTTGTTTCCTAGTAGTAAAATCTTCGTACTACTCTCTCCACTCCTTCAAAATCCTTGAGGTATTCCCTTTCAATTGGCACCTCTTTGCTGGGGTTTGGAGTTGAAGTCCTCGCACATTTGATTCTACCTCCACAGACCTTTGCAACCCTCCTCCTTCCTTCTCTAGGTTGATGATGATGATCTGTTTGCTAACGTCCGAGTAGTTGGTTAACTAATTGAAAAACTACTATCCATCATGTCGATGAGATACTTGGTCTTGAGAGCCTTTGAGATTCTACTTGGGTTGGTCACGTTCTGTTATCCCTTCTTTCTTACTGGCGATCCCCATATGCCTAAATCTCTCATTTGACAAACCACGACATGTTAACTAAATCGCGTCCTAGCCTATTCTTAAACAATCGCACCCTGGCTACCATCCCTTCGTGTCGTGCCATCATAGTTATTCACCTTAATATGATTAGAGTAGACTGGAGATTCTATAAACTCTTAAAAGAAGACCCTTGACTCATTTTCCTTTCCTTTGAAACAAATCCTTTAAAAACTGAGACCGACATTCCAGTATTCCTTGGAAACCAAGGAACAGAGGAAGACCGGCTCTGATACCAAAATGAAACACCCTAACCCGGCCGGGTACTACTTTTACTAAAATGCCCTTGATAAATAAAATACTCAAATCTTAAATTGCAACTGGGAAAAATTTTAATAAATAAAATACTGAAAACACACACTTGTAGCTCTGAGCAAAGCCCTAACACGTGGGCAAATTAAACTCAAACTTTAAAATCTCAATCTGATCTCCAATCTATACTCATAATCATAAGATGTAAATAGCTAGGTAGTCTATGTCGTTGCTGCTACTGAAAATCTTAACTAGGCATCCTCCGTGACGCTTGCACTGCCCTCCTCTAGCTGACTGCCCTCGAACTTTTCCTCTCGAACTCACTGCTCTCTAACTGTAGCTCTCTAACTGCTCCTCTAGCTCCTTACTCCTCAAACTGGTGAGTGGGTTGGGGTCAGTCTACGCCCTTACGTTTAACATCTTATTAAAACTTGAGCACTTTACTTAACTGTGTGGGAGTTGTTTTGTACTTCCACTATTAAAAAGTTTAACTCTTAAAACTGTATGGGAGTTACTGTTACTCTCCATTCTTGAAGCTCAAATCTCGACTTAAATACTTGACTGACACTGGGATCCCTCACTAGCTAGTCCGGTTGCCAACTCATACGTATGAGAAGCCGCCCAGGCTTTCCTTAAACTTAGTTAGGGAAGTCGTAACGATTCATCCCCCTAACATCTTAAACTTATCGTGGTGGCTCTTCACCACGATTCTCAAGAGCATAACTGCTGCTCATCTTAAAAGTCTCAAGAGCATAACTGTTGCTCTGTCTCAAAGATCTCAAGAGCATAACTGCTGCTCTATCTGAAAATCTCAAATGGCAACGGACTGGCGCTAGTGACTAAAAACACTTAAAACGACTTCACCTTCTTTAAGGTGAGTTACTTGTTTAAAAGAACTTGTTTCTTCCTCTTTAATAATAACTTATACTCGTAAAAATTTCAAAGTAATTAATAAACATTCACTTCAAGCATAGCTCAAACAAAATCACCTCAAATGGCACAAAATCATCTCAAATCATAACTCAAGCAAAGCACAAATAATCAATCATACACATAACCAAGCAACGATAACCAATTCACTAAAATACTTAAAATCATAATACTTAAAAGAATACGTAAGGCGTAGAATTTACCCCCTTTACACTCACCTTGAGTTGAAACTGATTGAATTTGCTTAGCTACTGTCCATGATTGATTTCCCTTCACTAAAATCAATTGTCGCCGCATACTTTCAC